TAAGGAGGAGGGAGTGTGTAAGAGGTATCAATATACAGTGAACCTTTGGTTAATGCCTTTAATCCGTTCCAAAGAGCTAGACTTTAGCCGATTTAGCCTTTAACCGAATTAATTTTCCCCCACAAGAAATAATTGAAATCCAATTAATCCGTTCCATATAACCCAAAAGTATTAAACAAAATAATTTTTTACATGAAATATAGATTTCCCTACGCAGAAAACAATGATACATGACGAATAAAACAATAATAACATCACACTTACCTTTATTGTGGACTTGTTGATGAGTGATGAGACAGGAGGAAGGCAGAGGATGAAGGTGTTATATAATTTGGAAGGGGAATCCCCTTCCAAAAAGACTTCAGGTAACAAGTCCTTTTCTGGCTTGGGTCCTGGGAGTGCCTTTTCCTCCTAAGTAATGTAGGTCCTGTTTGGCATTTCCTTCCCAAACAGGCCTGTTTCGTCACAATTGAACACTTGTTGGGGTTTTAATTTTTCAGCCTCTATGTACCCCTTAAAGTCCTGCACATATTTTTCAGCCGCTTTTTTGTCAGAACTGGCAGCCTCACCATGCCTTATCATACCTACCACCATCACAACCACCCTCTACCACCATCATAATAGCTACCACCCTCTACCACCATCATAATCGCTACCACCCTCTACCACCATCACTACCACCCTCTACCACCATCACTACCATCCTCTACCACCATCACTACCACCCTCTACCACCATCACTACCACCCTCTACCACAATCGCTACCACCCTCTACCACCATCACTACCACTCTCTACCACCATCACTACCACCCTCATCCACCATCACTACCACCCTTGTGGAAAATTGCATTTATCTGAATGTAACTAATTATGTACATAACAGCAAATGATAACAAAGATAATTATTATTTATCAATGTTACACAGACAAGTAGGAATTTGGGACACCTAGGTCGCAAAAATGTCCCCCTTCGATACCTACCACTGTCATAACCACAAGTTGCTCTGGACCTATTAATTAAATGAAATATACATACACCAGGAATACTGGTAAATATATAAATTTGTGGACTGTATATTAAAAATAATAAATGGTTATATATATACACAATTACATAACAGAAGGAAAATATATCTTAACTTCACTCACCAATTTGACTGGATATTAAGTTGTATCATACTCAGAAAAACCTCACTGACTAAATTTATGAAAACACTGGCCAGAATTATACACAAATCTAGAGAGCTTATCTCAGGTTCCTGGAGCTGTCTTGTCCAGTCGTCTGATATCTCAAGTTATGCAGGAATGCATATCCACCAATTTCGCCTCCTATTTGAGAGGTGTCAACACAATTTTAACCTCTAGAGCACGAAAAATTCTTCCCCATTCACCAACGTTTCTAATACAAATTCAAAAACCAAGATGGCGAGTCTCGTCTGCACAGACGCAGGCTTTCCGTTTTCTATGACAAATATTATTAAATACAGTATGGCCATCTATTTACATATAAATACTGAATTTCTGGAAAATATATACAGTATTTTCCACAGCCCTCTACCACCATCACTACCACCCTCTACCACCATCACTACCACCCTCTACCATTATCACAACTGCTACCACTCTACCTCCACCACTTTCGTATTTTTCTACAAGCTTTTTCTTAAATTATGTGTGTTTCTCACATTCTTTACCATAGGGCTGGCACTAGAAGCTTTGTTGGAGCCCATAGTGGCTTATTTAGCAGTTACAAGCACCAAAAACAATGGAATAATACAAAATATATCGCATGTACACGCAGAATCATCCCCACTGGCTTTGTAGACACTGGCTGGTAGACTGGATGACTGGCCGGGCCCTCTCACAGCACCCAGCAGACACGTTCGGGACGAAAGCTCCTAACCGAGTTTTTAGGTGTTATCCGAGCCAATTTTTTTACGCCAAAGCGAGGCGTTATTTGATTTTGGCGCTGTCCGATCCAGGCATTAACCAGGGGTCCACTGTATATATAATAATAGTATACAGTACTGATAAATAGATGAGGAAGACATATGTGCAACAGTTAGGTATCTTTATTTCTGAAACGTTTCACCATCATAGTAGGCTTTTTCAGTCGAATACAGAGGTGACTAACTAGGGAGAGAGTAGAAGTAATTGAGAAGTAAAGATGAAGTGATCCGACTTTTTTTTTTACTAATCATGGGAAGCGCTAAACCCGAAGGGATTATACAGTGCCTATGGGGGGATGGAAGATATTCAGACTCAATCTGGGGAACTGGAACACAAATCAAGTTACCCAGATCAAGAGCCCCTCACCAGCATCAAGGAACCTACCCTGAGGGGTGAAGTGATCAGTGGTGGCGGGAAACAGTGGCCGCCATGATGGCTGCGTTGTCAAGACTGTTCACAGTTTTTCTACATTGTTTTTTCCAATTTTTTGATTGATTGCGTAACAGTGCACGTTTTTCTTAGTGTATGGATTTACTAAACACTGGCTGCTGATTGTGAGTCGTTAAAACCATGATTTAACGTGAAAATAAATGAAAATTAGTTTATTTTTAAAGTGGTGGAGCGTCAAGATTCATTCTACAGGACGTGAGTAATATTTACACTAGTTGATTCTTCTGTTTATTATCACCTTTAGTCGTTCAAAGCTAGTACCTTCATGCTGGTGCAAGGCGCTTGCTCCAAGGAACTGGAGCTACTGTCTCCAGTGCTACAAATCTGATTACCTGCCAGGTGTCACATGACGCCTACGGGTGTAGTGCTTCCCCATGAATATACAACAATACCTTTAAAAACATAGAATTGTGTCAGTATTATTGGTTTCAGATTTCTAGGTGCTTGTGATATTATGAAAAACACGCAAGTGCATGTAAAAATGATTCTTAAGCTTCTGCCCCAGTGATCACATTATTATTATTATTATTATTATTATTATGATTATTATATTCATGGAGAAGCGCTAAATCCCTAAGGGTCATTTAGCGCCTGGGTAACAGGATGCAATCAAGTTCGATCTAAAAGTACGCAGGCCCAATTTCTTGGATCAAGAGCCCAGTGATCGCAGGAATTCTTAAAAAAAATCATTAATTAAATAACTACCATTCAGTTTTCGTTCCCTATATTCTCCGATAAGGCAAAACATGAAAAATCTGCGAAATATACGTAAACAGCAGAGTCATATATGTAAGATTTTCGCTCATGCATCACCGCTTTGCTTCGCTATGTTGTTAGTGCCTCGGGTCTTAGTAATAAAACAATGTCGGTTCAATGGTGCAGGTACAGCCAGTGTCATGGCAAGACACTGAGCTAGACACCATTATATAGGCAGGTAGTGATGGGGGCCCAGCCAGATCATTGAAACTGTCCTTCCTTTCCTCAGATCAAACCTGATTACCTCCCATCCCTTTGCTACTATATGACCCTTACAGGTTTAGTTTTTTAGTGAGTATAATACGTTGTGAAAACAGGATATTCGATATCCCCCAGGCGAGCCACGTCAGCAGTGACCCATGGGTTACTGGTGTAGACTACTTAATATATATGGTAAAGTTCTTTGAAATGCATAGTGCAACTAATTAGCTGAACTTTGGGGAAGCGGTATATTCGTATAGGTGAAGGAAGGCTCTTGAGCCTGTTCCTTTGATCTAGCATCTAGACGCCCCCTGGAAAGGTGTTGCGATAAGAGAACAGTTGAGGTGTGTTGCAGAGTGAGCTCCGGAGGAAACCCAGCTTTTCACTCCAGCAGAGGCAAACATGTTCACTATGACCCAGAAGTCCAGTATTAAGGTATGAAATGTGAGCTTTATGGTAGCAGTAGAGCGCTCTCTGCACTCCCTCGCCTCCTTCATTATCGCGCTCAAATTGAGTCAACACACACGTGACTCTCAATGGTGGGAAAATTGAGTCACGTGACCATGTTGGGCCAATCACACGCCATTCATCAGTAATTACGTCACCATGACACGTGTGACGTCAAAAATGAAATGGAAAATATCTATGGGACTCCTGTCTATTTTGCACGCTTCATTTACTCATGTAGGTTAATATTTTATGCCTTATTTCACGTTAAATTCGATGACGCAAGCACGAAAAATTTATGCCGCTGCTGGACATTGTTTAAAGCACCAATATGAAAGATTTGTGTGTGTGTAATTTCATGAAAAAGCGAGTGACATGTACTATAAGGTAGTCTTTGTCATCTGAAAAAAATGATGAAACTATAAGATGGTCAATTGTGTCTGGCTAGGATGAAACCAGAAAAAAAAAAAACTGGCGGATGTTGGTTGGTGTATCAGTGTTAAAGCCTATTGACTATACGATGATTGTTAATACTGTACACTACCAATCAAAGATACTTTAATCTATAAAATGCGGATTAAAAATAAACTCTCAGTGTATATAAAATGAACAATCTGCCCTCTATAATTAATAGAGTAGGGACAGTTTCACAAATTCACGAATTTCTGCATGTTTGAAATTTCAGTAAAAAAAAATATTTGTTATAACTTTTTGTATAACTGCTCGACAACAAATAAATAAAAAAACAAGGCACAAACTTAATTTTGTATGCCTTTTCAGACGCATGACAACAGATGTCAGTGGCCAATTGTCAAAGGCACTTGTCTGTAGACATTTGGCCCGTGCAAGACTGGCTGTGGTTGGCGGTCTAGAGTGCTCTGACGTGTACAAATATCTTCGTGCTAGCTGTCGTGATTCATTAAAGTTTTAGTTTTATGGTCTTCAAATGTAAATTACTTTAAATGCTTTATTTATAGTGACTTACTGCATAGCTGTAAACTTCACTGATATCTTTTCCGTGTAGTTGTAATACTATTTATTTCGAAATTATATTTTCAGTATTTTTTAAGTATTACATAGTTTAATGTGCTTCATGCGAGAATTTTCTTGCCAACGTATCGTATAAATGAATTATAGCCTTGAGCTATGAGTAAATAAAAGTAACAGAATATATCTGCTGGTGCACTGCACACTTAATGCAGAAATATCGTCCGATGCACTAGTGTAGGCAACACAAACAGTTTACAGTTCTTGGCCATACCCTGTTGATGTTTCTTCGAAGACATATGCTTCTTCTGCCTCGCCCGAGAATTTTGGAACCAAACTTGCGTCACCCTCTTGCTCAGGCCCGTTAGCTGGGCGATGCGCTCCAGGTCCTGGCTGTCGGGATTGGAATCGATCTGAAAATTCGCCTGTAGGACTTGTAGCTGCTCGTCCGTGAAGGTGGTGCGGACTCTCTTGCTCTTGCGTTGGCTGCCCTCTCCGTCCGTATTCTCTGGAACGAAAAGCCCAGCTCGCTAACGTTACCAACCAATTGCTCTGGAAATTACTCTGTAAAGTGTTAGTTAAACACATGTAGAGGAATGATCCCATACAGATATAAAGACAGGAAAAAGTAGTTCTGTATATTTCGACCTCGGTCTTTGGTCCTTTTCAGTAGAAGAGAACCTCAGACCGAGGTTGAAATAAGTAGAGCAACTTTTTTAATTTCTCAAATGTTGGTTATTTCCTATTATTGACAACTGTTAATGACACTGATGGCCTATCATCTGTAAAGAAAGCTTATTTTTAGTGTTTATACGGAATCTCAAACAAATAATAAAAACATTGAGATGACCTACTCCTCCAGCGTTATTGCATGCAATATGATGCTGGATCTTACCTACTATCATAATACTAAAATATGGTGACCGTACAAGAGAAGAAGACTTTATAATGTGAAATATATAAAGTAATTTTTTAATATAATGTCGAACGTGATCCACCTCTGAGTCTTGCCTTTCCAGCTTAACTGAAAACGCAGGAGGCAGTGACCTCTTTCTGCACGAGGCAGTGACCTTTGCATGAAAGGTAGTAATGGTTATATCTCAGCTGTATTTATATTACATAGTTCTATATCAGCATCAACTTAATTACAGCATACCATATGACCATAATGAAAAGGTCCAGCTTACACCCAACCATCTTCATTCATTTATTTGCGTAACCTACCTTTAGAGCTTCCCAAAGTATTTATTTCAACACCTAATAATATCCATGGACACTAGATGGTGATCGTGTGTTTCTTTTAGGTGGGGAATAAAGAAAAAAGTTAGCTCTCATAACTCCGCCAAAGGATGCTCAGTTACAAAGACCCTGAAGACCCACGTCAGGAAACACCTGCTTCCTGACAGACAAAATGCCACCACAATACTCTAATAACGCTACTTGACATTTTTTTTTTAATTTATCAACCATTCAAGGAAAAAAATAGATACTGGTGAAGGGCTGTCTCTCGATCTAAGAAATTAAAGCTTTCTCAGGGAATCAAACTTAATTACCTTCATTCCCCAGACACTGATTTCTACGAATGATAATAATAATAATAATAATAATAATAATAATAATAATAATAATAACAATAATAACACAGTATCTACAACACTTAGTAAACCAGCCGCTTTCCTGTATCCTTTCCAAAGGGCGAGGAAGTTTGCCAGGTGTCACAACACTCACCGTCATTACTGGTAGCGCCTCCCTCGATGGACTCTAGGTAGTGTTGTTTACAGAGGACGCGGTTGTCGTGGAGAGCGAACTCTTCTCCTGTGCTCAGCTGCCGTTTGCAGGCGTCGCAGGCGAAGCAGGCTAGGTGGTAGACACGGTCCCTAGCTCGCCGCACCCAGTCTGCCGCACCTATGCTGCGGCAACACTTAGCGCACCGCGCCCCGAAGTTTCTGCCGGGAAGACATTGTAACTTATGTTAACTATACCAGGAAGATGGTGTGACTTACGTTAGCTTATTCCAGGGAGACATTGTGACTTATTTTAACACACTTCAAGGAGCTGTGACATATTAACATACAGTAGGGAATTCTGATTTCTACTAACATACCATACCACGGGCGGGGTTAGAACCTGCGATCATAGTCTGAAAACTCTAGACCGTCGCGTTAGCTTTGAGGGGACTTGAGCTAGAGTTCGTCATGGCCACGCTAGTTGGATATTCGTCTGTAAAAACTTGCATTTGTGGTCACAGTGGTGCCTATGATAACGTTCCTATGGTGTATAATATACCTAGTTGGATGAATCTTCTTGTGGCTAGCTGGCCCAGTGGTTAACGCGATGATCTGGAGTTTTGAGACTATGATCGCGGGTTCTAACCCCGCCCGTGATATGGTTTATTTGCAATCGTGTCATTAAGATTTCGTGAGTCATGTTCTACTAACATTACTTATACCTAGAAGACAGTGTGCTTTATGTTAACATTAGTGATACCACTCGTAATACACACCTCACAGTGTATCTAGAGATATACACGTCTCGTATATACATTTATTTGTACTAAGCCAATATACACATAATATATATATATATATATATATATATATATATATATATATATATATATATATATATATATATATAATATATATATATATATATATATATATATATATATAAAGTACCACCTCTATAGCTGGAATGGGGACCCTCATCCTCAGAGAAGACAACAAACGTACCTCAGGGAAAACTCAAGGTTCTCCCCGGAGCTGTTTAAATATTTTCTTCTCCTACCACCCCCTATATATTTTATATTCTATGTGAACATTTATTAATAAACAGAATACACTTACAGAAAAAAACATAAACATAAATACAAGGGCACAATGTATCAAAGATCATGAATTTCCTCCAGCTCCTCCGAGGCGGGAAACGCGAGCCAAGTTTTTAGCAAGCATTTCCCCTCTGGATGGCTATGTTTGAGGCGCTGGAACATGAAAGTGGCTGCCCTTGGGTCCCTAGTGGTGTCGATGAGTCTGGAACCCCAAATTTTCTTAAGGAAACGGGGTGGTATTTTTTCCCCATGATCCCAAGGTCTCTGATTCCCACTGGACAAATTGATACTGTTGGCTAATGTCCCTGTACTTGCTGATCTTGTACTCCTCCTGTGGTCAGCAGCTCCTCCCTGTCGCCCACACTGTGGAAAGGACATAGGGGTCAGCCAGTGTGGACACACAGGTATAGTCCCATGCTAAGAGCTTTTCCATTCTTCCAAGGATAGATGGTGATCCCGTTGGGGCGGTTTGCTGGGTTGTGGGTATTGTTGGCTGCTAGTGATCGGGGCTCCCTCTCGCAGGGCATCCAGCTGTAGCAAGGGTTCTCTTATGATGTCGTTTTACCTCATTGTGTCTTGCATGTCAGCCCTTGTTTGGAACAGTTTAAGACCATTTTAGACCGTATTGGTCTGCTTGCACATAGCCGCAAATACACGTATATTCTGTGTGAATTGGGGTAGCAAGGCGCAGAGCCACTGCAATACGGAGGGTCTTAGGGTCGAGTCGCGTTCCCATTGCCGATATGGGAACTGTTTGGAGGAAGTCCCCGGAGTGATGTGCGCTCACAGCCTGTAGACGGGTAATCTCCCTATCTGATGTTGCAGCCCAGAGCATGTTGGCAAGCACCTTTTCAGCAATCGGGCCATCCCAGCTTGACTGTTTGTGAGCCAGTGCTGCACTAAGGTTTGGTGCTGGAGCAGCAAGAGTCTCCCATTCGGTGATGGCACTGGCATAGCTAGGGTCTTCTATTCCTGCTGAGTCACTGAGGGTATCAGGAAGAATTTGTCTTATCAACTCGTTTGATGCTATGGAAGAGGATAGGAAAGCTGGTAGAGCAATCTGGGAGGATCTGCGTACTCCTAGCCCTCCAAGCCTGACCGGAATGAGGCTTGCAACCATTTTCCATCGTCCCAAAGGGGAAAAATTCAATACATCTCTAGCATGGGCTTCAGGAGAGAGTCATATTCCTTGAGTTTTGGACTGCTGAAGGCTGGGGAGCATCTCAGAAAGTAGATAAGTTTTGGGATTGACAGTCCCCCTGGTGAGTAGGTAGAAGGCATCGTGTGTCAATGTCTTTCATCCTGTTTTCCATCGTCCGGAGGTCTGAGAACTTTTTTTTCTAGGATCAGATCGATGGCATTGGCCCGAGAGGAGCACCAAGGGGATGCTATTGGCTGGATCAATGGGTCGTGCTCCTGGTAAAACCCGGGACTTACATTCTGGATCATCTGTTGATTGGGAGAAACTATTTCACATTTTGGTGGGGTTTAAAAAAGGCCCAGGGTTTCTCCCAAGTCTTTAATTTTCTGATGTCCTCTAGGAGAGATTCGTTGTGCCAGCTAGGTACCGTCGTCCAGGAACCGATATTGAGCTCGCTGGAGAGTGCTTCCGTGACTTCCTTGATGACCAAACAAAATAGAAAGGGGGCGAGAGAGTCCCCCTGTTGCACGCCCTCACATGAGTCAATTTCATGGTCCCAAACAATAGTTTGGAAGTCACACTATAAACACGATTCTATGAAGGGGATAAAGGGAAGGGAAGTTTCTATAAAACGCTTGGAGAGCAGCATACCTTCTGACTGAGTTGAAAGCATATGGCAAAGTCCAATTTGAACCAAGGCTTTTCATCGACATGTTTTTGATATATACTCGTGCTGCGTGGCACTGCTTCACAGCCCCTTTTGAACGCCGAAAACCGAGACTGAGTTGGTTTCTAGCATTGCAGCAGCCTCTTGACTCACCCTTCTTACTGCAGCCTTGCGACTAGGCCCGAAGGGTGTTACCCACTGCAAAGACTGATTCCACCATCCTTATTTTCCGGAGGGCACACAATGAGGCACCAAAGAAAAGGGTCTGATGCCTCTGGACACTGCCAGCCAGGCACAGGTTGGAAAATTTGGTGAGTTCAGACAGCAGCCTCTCTGAAACCTCACCAAGTAACTGGATGGGTATTTGTTTTAAGTGTTGAGGCCTTAAACCGGTGAAACCTCCCGCTGACCCTGTGGAAATGACAGCAGCTTTATACACATCAGCATCCTTAAGGTTATAATATATTATATATATATAAATATATATATTATTATTTATCAAATATATATATATATATATAAATATATATATATATATATTATAAAATAATTATTAATATATATATATATATATATATATATATATATATATATATATATATATATATATATATATATATATATATATATATATATATATATATATATATATGTATGTATGTATGTCGTGCCGAATAAGCAGAACTTGCGATCTTGGCTTAAATAGCAACGCTCATCTTGCCATATAGAACAAGCGACAATTTGTGTATGCAATAATTTCGCCAAAATCATTCGGAACCTAACGAAAAAATATATTTCACTGTGTTTGTTTAGTATTAAATTATTGTAAACAAATCTAAGATATATTTAGTTGAGTTAGGCTAAAATAAATTGCTCTTGTTATAATAAGGTTAGGTAAGTTTTCTAAGATTTTTTTGATGCAAAATAAAAATTTTTTACATTAACATTAATGAAAAAAATATATCTTTAAACGTACAAGAGAAAATTTCAGAAAGGACATAATCTTAAATGAGTTCTTGCTAATTGACCAGTTTTACATATTCGGCACGACATATATATAAATATATATATATATATATATATATATATATATAATATATATATATATATATATAATATATATATAATATATATATATATATATATATATATGCAATAAGATCACAGTAAACAGGTGATTTCAGAATATGCAAAACAACCACTGTGAGAGAATAGAGAAATTCCAAGCGCTTTCGTGACTACTCACATTATCAAGGAACAATAAAAGTAATGCATCAAAGGAAGGCATATAAAGGGTCTAGACCACACCTCACTATCACATCCCACAACAAAGCAACACCTGAGGCGCGACTCATAAGAAAGAGAACACTACAGCAGGTCCGCCGGCCAAACAAAATCTCTCCTAGAGGACATCAGAAAAATTAAAGACATGGGAGAAAGCCTGGGCCTATCATTAAACCCCACCAAATGTGAAATAGTTTCTACCAATTAACAGATGATCCAGAATATTAGTACTGTTTTACCAGGAGCACGAGCCATTGATCCAACCAATAGCACTTTCCTTGGCGCTTCGCTTGGGTCCAATGCCATCGATCTCATCCTAGAAAAAAAAGTCTCAGACCTCCGGACGATGTAAGGCAGGATGAAAGACACTGATACACATGATACCATCTACCTACTCAACAGGTGCCTGTCAATCCCAAAACTTACCTACTTTCTGATATGCTCCCCAGCCTTCAGCAGTCTGAAACTTAAGGAATATGACTTTCTCCTTAAAACCATGCCAGAGAGTGTATTGAATCTTTCCCTTGAAGATGAACAGTGGTTGCAAGCCTCACTTCCGGTCAGGCTTGGGGGGGCTGGGAGTACGCAGATCCTCCCAGATTGCTTTACCAGCTTTCCTATCCTCTTCCATAGCATCAAACGAGTTAATAAGACAAATTCTTCCTGATAACCTCAGTGACTCAGCAGGAATACAGGACCCTAACTATGCCAGTGCCATCACTGAATGGGAGAGACTCTTGCTGCTCCAGCACAAACCCTAGTGCAGCACTGGCTCACAAACAGTCAAGCTGGGATGGCCCGATTGCTGAAAAGGTGCTTGCCAACATGCTCAGGGCTGTAACATCAGACAGGGAGACCGCCCGTCTCCAGGCTGTGAGCGCACATCACTCCGGGGACTTCCTCCAAACAGTTCCCATATCGGCAATGGGAACGCGCCTCGATCCTAAGACCCTCCATATTGCAGTGGCTCTGCGCCTTGCTGCCCCAGTTCACACGGAATATACGTGTATTTGCGGCGAAGCGCAAG